GAGCTCCACCAAGGACCCTAGTGGCTGCGATCGCATGGCGGCACCGCACTAATGTCAACACACCCCTCACACGCGTCGTGGCCCCACAGGGAGCTCCACCGAAGGCCCCAATGGCTGCGTTCGCATAGTGGCACCGACACCCTTTCGGCACACGCCTCACACGTTTCGTGGCCCGATAAGGAGCTCCACGGAAGGCCCAGTGACTGCGTGCGCATGCCGGCACTGCACCAATTTCGGTACACCCCTACCCCTCACACGTTTCAGGGCCCCATGGGGAGCTCCACCGGAAGTTCCAGTGACTGCGTTCGCATGGCGGCACCGCGCTCATTCTGGCACAACTCTCACGCATTTCGTGACCTCCGAACGGGCTGCACCGAAGGGAATACTCACAATTGCGTTGATCCCAACTGCATAGTGTTGGGTTGTGCGCCAGGATAATTATAGTAATGAAGGTGCAGATGCGCAGAATGGGGCGTGCGTCTCTTTATATGGAATGATGGTCGTGTGTATATATGTAGCTACATATGCATATATATATATATATATATATATATATATATGTATATGGTTGTGTACATGCATATACATGATTATACCTATACATATATACATAAGCATATTACATGTATACATATGATCGCCCCTCCATGTGATCCACATTTCTGGTTTGTCCTACAAATGTCAGCTGGATTTCGTGTGTGAGTGCAAGCGTTTCAGTGTCGAGTAATACACGGCCTTTGTCAAGCGCAAGCGTCGTCCACAATACTGTCAAGGAACGGGTGGCAAAAGATATGAATAATGCGGTGCAGCGAAGAAATAGAGGGAAGAGGAAGAGCAGGAAGAGGGAGGAGGAGGATGAGGATGGTGAGGAGGGGGGTGAGGGCAAGAAGGAGGATGCGTGGCAGTGGTTTGAATTGCTTGGCTTGGTTTGGCATTGCTTCGCATTGCATTGGATTGCTTGATACTTATCTGCTTGGCATAGATTGCAGCTGTTTTCCTTTGCTTGGCGATGCTTTCCTTTGCCTTGCGTTGCTTGGCACTACTGCGCGTTGGTTGGCACTGCTTTGTTTAGTTTGTTATTGCATTGCTTGGCAGTGCTAGGCATTGCTTGTCAATGGTAGGCATTGCGGCAATGCTTGGTATGGCATTGCATTGCTTGCATTACGGCATTGCGTTGCTTGGAATTGCTTGGCATTGCCCAGCAATGCCTGGCGCTGGTTTGCGTCGCTTGGCATTGCGTTGCTTCGCTTTGTTTGGTATTGCATTGCATAGCGTTGCATTGCTTTGATTGGTATTGATGTTCATTCGGTTGCTTTGCTGGGCATTGCTTTGCGTTGCTTTGCGTGGCTTCCCTTTTCTTTGCTTCACACGGGTTTACCTTGCGTTGCCCGGCATTGCATTGGGTCGCGTGTTTTTATTGGCATTGGTTTGCCTGGCATTGCTTGGCATTGCATTGCCTGGCATTGCATGGCATTGCTCGAGACTGCAAGGCACTGCGTTGCATTGCCATTGCGTTGCAATGCGGTGTATTGCTTTGCGTTGCCTCGCATTGCTTTATTTTGCATTGGTTGGCAGCACCTTGCATTGCTTTGTGTTGCTGCGCATCGATTTCCACGGCCGTGCGTTGCTTGGCATTGCTGAGCACTACCTTGCATTGCTGTTCATTGGTCTGCTTCGATTTAGTTTCCATAGAGTTGCGTTGCGTGGCGTTGATTTGCATTGGCTTGCATTGCTTGGCATTGGTTTGCGTTTGTTGGGCGTTGCTTTGCTGGGCGTTCCATCGCATTGCTTGTCACTGCTAGGCATTGCGTGTCAACGCTTGGCATTGCGGCATTGCTTGGCATTGCATTGCTGGCATTGCTTGTCATTACGTTGGTTGGCATTGTCTGGTATTGGCTAGCAGCGCTGTTGCATTGTCTTGCCTTGCTTAGCGTTGTTTTGGTTTGCTGTCTTTGGCGCTGTTGCATTGTTTTGCCTTGCGTTGCGTGGTATTGAATTGAATGACCTTTGCGACGCTTTGCATTGCCTTCCGCTGCTTTTCTTGGCACCGCTTGGCACTGCTTGGCATCGCTTGGCATTGCTTGGAATTGCTTGGAATTGCTTGGCATTGCATTGAATTCTGTGCATTCCGTGGCGTCGCGTTGCTTTGCATTCACGTGCATTGCGTGGCTTCGCCTGACATTGCTTTGTATTGATTGACGCTGCTTTGCGTTGCCGCGTACTGCTTTGAACTGGGACATGCCAAGCGAAGCACAGCAATGCAAAACAATGCAAGGCAATGCAGAACAATGACAAGCAAAGCAAAGCCAATCAGTGAACGTCCTTCCAAGCAAAGCAATGCCAACCGAAGCCAAGAAACGCAATACAATTCAAAGCACTCCATAAAAACGGAGAGCAGTGTCAGTCAATACAACGCTGTGTCAGGCACGGCCAAGCGATGCCAAGCAATGTCAAGCACTGCCAATCAATGCCTGTGAATGCCAAACAACGTGCAGTTTGCAATAGCCCGACCCCGCCCCAACCTCCCTCCGGCCGCCCCCCACTCTCCCTCTCTCCCGCTCTCCCGCCCTTCCGCTCTCCCACTCCCCCGAGTGGAAATCAAGGCCGCGAAGAAGCTGAGGTGGATAATAGGGGGTGGGGCGACCATATTTGTATATACACATACAAGACTGCATTGGCGCTTCGCGCCATGCACTTTGGTCCTTCAATTTTGGCATGCAGACAGGAAGGTAACTCGTTGTCTTTTCTGGCGTCGTCGCTGTAATAATGTTATTCGTCATCATTCCCTCATGTTTCCTCTTCCTCTTCCTTACTCTCGCCCTACTCTGCGAGTTCGCCACCATCCGCAGCTATTTTTGTGTAGGCTCATCCTAGGAGGGCCTCTTGTAAGCCTCACGAAGGTTTTGAAGGGCTTGTTGGGGCCTTCTGGAAGCCTCCTTGATTCCTTCTGGGGGTCACTGGGGGCTTCCCCGGGCCATCCTGCTTCCAACCGCGGTCTCCCTGAACGACTGGGTCACGATTTGGAATGACTCGGGAGGCGTCATGGGGCCATCTTGGGCCGTCATGGGGCTCTCTTCGGGGCAACTTGGGGCCCGGTTGGGCCGTCTTGGGGCTCCTCTTGGACTGCCTGGAAGCCCTCTTGGTTAAATTTAGGGCGATGCTCTGGCCTCCTGGGCAGTCTCGGACGCCCAGAAGACCGAAGAACTGAGGATTCCCCAAATCAGGCAAACACCATAAGGAATCAATGTTTTTTGTGCGTTTCGAGCGCCTCTTGGGGGTCTTCTTTGGATCGTCCTCGGGTGTCTGGTGGTTGTGTGAGGGTGTCTGGGGCCTCTGTGGGCTCTCGCGGGGCCGTCCGGCCGCCCCCCTGGCCGACCTGGGCCCGTTGCTAAGCTCAGCAGGGACGTCAGGGGCGCCGAAAAGCACAGGGGACCGTCTGCAAGGGCGTCCGGGGTGCCCCCGGGGCCAAGGATCCCGTTTGGGGGGGGGGTCACGGGGCCCCAGATTATAAACATATAATATAAAATTCATATATTATTCTAATATAATTAAAAACTCCCTTTGTATAATAAACTTCCCTTTTTATAATAATGAACTTCTCTTTTTATGATACATTCCCGTTGTTATAATAAACTTCTCTTTTTTATATAATAAAAAAAAGGACGTTTATAGATGGTCCCGTCACTGCGCCACGAGGCACGACCTCGAGCGTCCTCGGTCCCCCGAGGCTCCGCCGCGTTGACTAGTCCAATGCCCTGTAACAAGGCCGCAGCCCCCGAGTTCCTGGCGCTCTGTGGGCGTCCCGAGCGTCGTCGCGCAATATCTTTTCCAGAAGCCAGAAGGCCCCAAAACGGCCCCAGAGGGTTCCAAGAGGACCCCCAGGCAGTCCAAGAGCGTCCCGAGTCGCCCAGAGATCGCGCCCAAAGTGACCTTAAGTCAGGGCCCCCCAATGCGCCGCAAGAGGACTCCAAACAGCTGCCAACCAAGTGATTACCACGGGTTTGTGCAATTCAGCGTTCTCGTCTTCTGGGGCTCCCCAGGCTCCAAGACGGCCCCAAAGGACCCCACGATCGCTCCAGGACAATGCATAAATGCCCCCAGGAGGGCCCCAGGACGGCCCGAGGTAGCCCCTCGCACGGCCCAAGAGGTCCCCAGGGCGGCCCACGAGGGGGAGCACGTGCTGTCATGTCTGGCCCTCCGCCCCAGGAGGCCCCCCCGGAGAGGCCACCGGGGCCCCAAGAGAGGCCAGGAGGCCCCCCGGAGGGCTCAGCCCTCGGCCCTCCTCCTCCTCCTCCTCTCCTATCTCTCCTCCTCCTCCATCTCCTCCCTCCTCTCCTCCTCCTCTCCTCCTCCTCCTCCTCCTCCTCGTCCTCTCCCTCCTACTCCTCCTCCTATCCTCCTCCTCCTCTCCTCCTCCTCGTCTCTCCTCCTCCTCCCCTGCTCTCCTCCTCCTCCTCCTCCTCCTCCTCCTCCTCCTCCTCCTCCCCCGAGACCGCCAGCAGGCCCCGAGAGAGGGCCCCAAGGCGCCCCAGGAGGCCCCCGAGAGGCCAGAACCAGGCCTCCAAGAAGAGATCCCGGCAGGCATCCAAGAGGCCTTTGACCGTCAGCCCGAGCACGGTGGCGGGAGGGCCGGGGGACGCAAGACTGCCCCCTCCGCTGCCTGCTCTCAAAGCCACTCAAAAAGTTCACAACATCCTCTCCACTCTTAAAAACGCCTACTCTGGGTTTCTTGATAATTAGGCGTGGGGGGGACCCCCCGACGAGGGTCGATCTCGCCTAGTCGTCGCGCCGCGACGGGGGTCGGAGCGCCTTCGGCGCGCGGTGGCTGCCCGCGACGGGGGTCGATGTGGGGCTGTCGGCGGGGGCGACGCCCCCCCGACGCTCATTAAGAAACTCGGAGTAAGGAGGCGCAGGAATATTCCCCATCCTCTACGTCACCTTTCTTGGACCAGTAGTTCTCCTAGCGAGGTTGGGGTCAGTACATACTTCGAATCGCCCACGTCCATTGCGGCGGTGTACAGGAACCCACCGTGCTGGTTCGGCCTGGAATGCATCGCCACTACAGGCCCGGTGTGCTCGTTGAACTCCGTGAGCTTGACACCACGGACCACCTTGCGGCACATTCAATCGAATCGCATGGCCAACAAATCCCCCACACGTACAGAACCGTATGGAGAGGGAGGATGGAGGGATAAAGGAAAGACGAGGAGGAAGAAGGAGGGATCTGGAGGAGGGATGCTCGGGTCCTGAAGGAGAATGCCCCGGGAAGCGCAGAGGTCGAGGGTCATGGGATCCGGGAGAAAGTGGGTGACGTGGACGAAGATACAATGCGCGTCGGGGCCTGTGCGTGCGCAGACTCACACTAAAGGCAATATCCAAGACCTTCCCGAAGCCACGCGGGGCATCCTGAAGCTTTCTGGTCTCTTTCTGTCGCCACTTAAAGCCATCTTGGCGGCCCCTGGGCGTCCTCTGACGGCGCCGGAGACGCCCCTCAGAGCTATGCGACCCCCCCACGCACATACGGAGTTCCCTACGTCAACTTCCGATGGGCCCGTCGTCAAGCCGTGGCGGTTCGCTCACGCAGCGCCCGCATCTCTTGGGCGCGTTTGCACCTCTGGTAGTGGGCTCGACATGTTGTGTCTCCTCCTCCTCCTCCTCCTCCTCCTCCTCCTCCTCGTCGTCGTCGTCGTCGTCGTCGTCCTCCTCGTCCTCCTCCTCTTCCTCCTCTTCCTCCTCCTCCTCCTAGTCCTCCTCCTCCTCCTCCTCGTCCTCCTCTTCCTCCTCCTGCGTACACGATCGCTGAACGTTGACCGCTTGCCACGGCTGGGGAAAGCCCCAGACAGCTGATGCACATCGGCCTGGGGCCAGAAGCACTCGAGGGGGGCTGGCCAGGGCTCCACAAAGAGGACGAGCCAGCCCCCTCCACCTCCGCCTCCTCCTCCTCCTCCTCCTCTTCCTCCTCTCCATCCCTCTCCTCTTCCTCCTCCTCCTCCTCCTCCTCCTCTAGATCCTCGTCCTGATCCTCGTCGTCCTCCTCATCCTCCTCTTCCTCCTCTTCCGCCTCTACCTCCATCGTCCTCCTCCTCCTCCTCCTCCTCCTCCTCCCTTTTCCTCCTCCCCATCCTCCTCCTCCTCGTCCTCGTCCTCCTCTTCCTCATCCATTCCTGTTCCTCTCCTCTTCCATTCCTTTTACTTACAAACAACTTCTCCCTGTCGCACCCCGAGGCCAGTTTTCAGGGCAGGCCCGGCGCTTCGCCCGAGACCTCCTCACCATTCATGACCCTGAAGCTTAAACATCGGCAAGAGCTTCACCTATGGAAGGAGGAGGAGGAGGAGGAGGAGGAGGAGGAGGAGGAGGAGGAGGAGGAGGAGGAGGAGGAGGAGGAGGAGGAGGAGGAGGAGGCGGAGGAGGAGGAGGCGGAGGAGGAGGAGGCGGCGGCGGCGGCGGCGGCGGCGGCGGGGGTGGCGTTCAAAATGTGGCTCTCGCCTCCGCGCCGCGCACGGTCGTTCTGACAGGTAACATCCGGTCCACGGACGGAGGGCGACCCGCTTTCAAAATGTGGCTCTGGCCTCGGCGCCGCGCACATTCGCTGGAACAGATTCAAGAGCTTCACGGACTGAGGATAACCCGTCTTGAACACGTAGCTCTCGCCACGGCGCCGCGCACATCCGTTTTTTGCTGTTATATATGTATAGATATACATATATATACGTATGTGCTAGAACCATCGCGCGCGCTTCGCGCGCGCTCAGGTTCTAGCAGGCCCCAGGCCTTGACGAATTCACTGCTCCACTGAAGTAGTAGACCACAGTCCACGCATGCATTCCGAAAGGCCTTCGAGGAAAATGGTTGCGTAGGGGGGCGGAGGCCGTATGAATCGGGTTCCCAGGCCTTCTGGGAGCATGGGTTTGGGGCGTCTTGGGGAGCCTGTTGGGGCGTGCCGTCGTCGTCGTCGTCGTCGTCGTCGTCGTCGTCGTCGTCGTCGTCGTCTTCGTCGTTTCGTCGTCATCGATTCAAGAGGGCACTTGCCGTTGTAGGGGCCTATGAAGAGGGAGCTTGGAGGGAGGATGTATTCCAACATAGCTGATGGCTCTCGGGTTTACACTGGTCCTCCTCCTCCTCCTCCTGATCCTCGTCCTGATCCTCGTCTTCTTCCTCCTCCTCCTCCTCATCCTCCTCGTCCTTCTTCTTCTTCTCCTCCTCCTCCTCCTCCTCCTCCTCCTCCCCCGCCTCTGCCTCCTCCTCCCCTCCTCTCCTCCTCCTCCTCATCATCTCTCCTCCTCTGTCCTCCTCTTCCTTATTATCCATTCCTGCTCCTCTTCCTCCTCCTCCTCCTCCTCCTCCTCCGCCTCCTCCTCATCATCATCATCATCCCGATCCTCCTCCTGGTCCTCGTCATACTCCTCCTCTTCCTCCTCCTCCTTCCCATCCTCGTGGATACTTCGCGCTCGGCTATGAAACGACGCACGCTAAGGATGCAAGGGCCTTGAAGGCCACGTCGACACTTTGCGAGCGGGGTGCGGCCAGCGAAAGCGGCCAAGGATGGGTCGAAGGGGCAAGGATGCTAGGGTAGCCTTGGAACGTTGCGCATTCTTACCGTACGGGTTGACTGTAGAGGACGAGGATCGGGGAGGATCGAGAAGAGGGAAGAGGAGGAGGAGGAGGAGGAGGAGGAGGAGGAGGAGGAGGAAGGGTGAAGGGCGAAGGGCGAGGCGCGTGGATCCGCGGGAACGAACTCTTGATGGTCAGCGCGGGGGGAGGGGGGGGGGGCGGGGCTCGTGCACCCGGGTGTCGGCGTCCACCTGGCTCGAAGAAGTTCGCCAAGAAACCGTCGCGTGTGTGTGATTAATTGTCGCGTCCTCCTCCTCCTCCTCCTCCTCCCTCCTCCTCCTCCTCCTCCTTCCTCCTCCCCCTCCTCCTCCCCCTCCTCCTCCCCCCTCCTCCTCCTCCTCCCTCCTTTCCTCCTCCTCCTCCCTCCTTTCCTCCTCCTCCTCCTCCTCCTCCTCCTTTCCTCCTCCTCCTCCTCCTCCTCCTCCTCGCCAAGCGCGTCCTTCCATCCCGTGCCACACGTAACTGTCGCAGCATTGCGACCACTATCGGCAACCAGTGCTGGAAGAGGCGGAGGTGGAGGAGTGGGATCGAGGATTGGGGGAGGAGGAGGAGGAAGAAGAGAGGGAGGAGGACCCATGTGAACCTAAGAGTCATCAAAGATGTTGGTATAAACCCTCCCTCCAAGCTCCCTGCTCATAGGCCCCTACAGCGGTTCTTCTCCATTGAGGGAACTGCCTCGTTGGAAGTCAACCGTTTGAAGACCCTGAAGCATGCCAAAACATCGTTCTCGGGATTCCAACGCCACGGATCATCCTGACTGTTGTGTCTTGACGATCCAGAACCGTGCCAGAACGCTAGTCCTGGGACTTCAACACCGCGAATCAACGTGACTGTTGCACCCACAAAACCCCGAATCCGTCCAAAACACAATTTCTGGTGCGCTAATCATGGGAACCCGTGGAACTCTTGCAACTTGTATAATACGAATATGCGCGGCGCTCTAGCGAGAACCACATGTTGAAAAGGAACCGCCCTCAATCCGTGAAACTCTTGCGATTGCTTTATAATAAAAAAAAACGAATGTGCGCGGCGCTAGAGAAAGAACCACATATTGAAAAAGGAGCCACCCTCAATACGTGAAACTCTTGCAACATATGTAAACGACTGTGCGCGGCGCTAAGGCGAGAGCCATATGTTGATAAGGAACCGCTCTCAATCCGTGAAGCTCTTGCGTAAAAAAATGTGCACGGCGCTAAGGCGAGAGCCAAATTTTGAAAACGACCCGCCCTCCATCGGTGAAGCTGTTGTCAATGTTTAGGCTTCAGGGTCATGAATGGTGAGGAAGTCTCAGGCGAAACGCCCAGACCGCCCCAAAAACTGGCCTCGGGGTGCGACAAGGAGAAGCTATGCATACGGGCGAGGAATGGAGGAGAAGGAGGAGGAGGAGGAGGAGGCGGAGGAGGAGGAGAATCGAGGGGGAGCAGGAGGATCGAGGACCCAGGGGGACCGAGAAAGGAGGACCGAGGGCCGAGGAGATGACATCGATGCGGTCGCCCCCGGGGGCCGCCTCGAACACGCGGAGAAGGGTGGGGGAGAGCAGCAGCAGGCGGCGCGTCGAGGGGTCGTAGCTCATGTGCACGATCGGGTCGCCGGAGAGGCTCCTGCCGCCCCAACGAGAACCCGAAGCGGGGCTCGCCCCGCGGTGTGCAGGCGGCCGGCCGGCGCGCGGGGAGGAGGAGGAGGAGGAGGAGGAGGAGGAGGAGGAGGAGGAGGAGAGGAGGGGAGGAGAGGGGAGGAGGCGAGGAGGAGGAGGAGGAGGAGAGGAGGAGGAGGAAGGAGAGAGGAGGAGAGCGAGGAGGAGGAGGAGAGGAGGAGGAGGAGGAGGAGGAGGAGGGAGGAGGAGGCAGGAGGAGGAGGGAGGAGGAGTTTTCTGTTGTGAAAAAAACATAAACATGAAACAAGTAATGCACCGCTGACGACCAGGCTCCAAGGACTATCGAGTAGCCAGGGACTGAAGGCCAGGGCAGAAAATTCAGGCGTCGGCCCAGCTGCTGACTTCCTTGGACGGCGGCAAACCTTTACACAGCCGCTGCAAGACTTCCAGCCGAGCTTTGGTTAAAGCGTGTGGCCCTAGCTCTGAAACTGGGCAAGGCTTTCTAAAGAAAATCGGGGCGGGCCTTCGCCCAAGCATCACACTCATCAGCCCCGCGACTTCAACGAAAGACCCATGGGGGCCCATCCGGAAAGAAACAACTTCTGGGGCGCGCCCAGGAACCCAGGGGGTCCAGTTTCCGCGGAGGAAAAAAAAACACATCCCTGGCGAGGGGTTCGAGCACGGGGGTGACCCCCGTCTCACATTCCGGAAGAGAACTGAATTCTCAGCCGCGGGGGTGCCCGCGCGAGGGGTCCCCCCCCCAGCGCAACCAGAGGAGGAAAAGCGTGAGAGCCCAGATTGTAAGTGCAATGCAGCAACACTCTGACAGTGGTTGCACTAGGGAGTCGTGATAGTAATAGGGAGTTGTACCAGGGAGTCCTACTGGGAGTTGTACTAGGGAGTTGGACTAGTACTAGGGAGTTGCATAGGGAGTTGCACTAATGGGACTGCACTAGGGAATTGCACTGGGGAGTTGTAGTAGGGAGATGCACCAGGGAGTTGTACTAATACTATGGGGGTGGTACTAGGGAGTTGCACTAGGGAGATGTACTAACACCGCTTGTTCGAGGGAATTGTACCAGGGCATTGTACTAGGGAGTTGCATTACGGAATTGCACCAGGGAGTTGCCCTGGGGAGTTGTACTCGTACTCTTTGCAATAAGGGGGTTAAGCTGGGGAGTTCTACTCGCACTGGGAAGTTGCACTAGTTGTACTTGGGAATTGCACTAGGGATTTGCACTAGTACTACGTAGTTGCACTAGGGGGTTGTACTAAGCAATTGCACTGAGGAGTTGCACTCAGGAGTTGTACTTATCGTAATCAAGAGTTGCACCAGGGATTGCAGTGCAGAGTTGTGCTGGGGCTTATACTACTAACACGATACCAGTTGCACTCTAATACTTGCACGGCAGGACAATGTGCTCTCTAGGAACAACTGCGCGCTAGTACATGATAGTACCAATTGTACTCTAGTACTAATTGTACGGTAGTCGGGGGGGTTCAGCGGTTCCAGTGGCAACTCGCGCGCGGAAGAAGGAAAGAAATCCATGCGCCGCCAGGGGTCCCGGGTTTAACGGGTCGCCGCGAAGGTTGGCCCCCCGCGGAAAGAAGAAAAGAAATCTGGCCAGGGGGTTGGGGGGTTCAGGCATGAGTCGCGAGGCTGATACCACACTCTCACAACACGTGAGAGCAGTGGACAGGCTTGCCGGCAATCCACGGCTCGACTCGCCCAGGTAGGGGGTCGAGGCCAAGGAACCGCCATAAAGAGTCATTATGGCCGGGCAAAGCTCGAGCAGGCTTCACCCGCTTGCATGGGTCGTGTGTCTTCCCGCCTCCCCCGCACACAGGCGACGCACACACACACACACTCACACACAAACATCCTCCTCCTCAAACGACGCAAGGCAAGCGCTGGCGAGCCTGGCTCCCAGGGCGGGGGCGGTGTCCTTGACCTCCGCGCGGCACGAGGTACAGCTCCGCGCGATCCCGTCAGAGGCCCACCTATGAGAGCCACGCCCGACATCGGCCTCGATCCACCTGCGCCGACGAAGGGCAGAATCGATGGGCTGTTTCGAGAGGCGACGGTCGGGCTCGGCTCTGGTGGAGGCACGCTCAAGAATGAGAAAGCCGTGCCGTTTCAGGACCCGGCAGGCCTGCTGGACCAAAGAACTGTGGTCTCAGACCGCGTCGTCAGGTACCTGGCACTCAGCTGCTCGATCGTCAGCTGATCCATCGGCCAGGGACTTCAACACCACATGATCCCAGCTGACACTGTCGATGAAACGCTCTCGCTGTTGGGAGTCCTCAAGGAGGTGAGAGGGAACATGTGAGAGGACGAAGGGGGAGGAGGAGGAGGAGGAGGAGGAGGAGGAGGAGGAGGAGGAGGAGGAGGAGGAGGAAGAGGAGGAGGAGGAAGAGGAGGACCCCCCGTTTCTGCGGCAACTCGCTGGGGGCACCCCATGGCATCTTGCTGGCTCCCGCACATCAGCGCAGACCGGCGCGCATCGACGCTACATATAATTCGACGCTTTCTCATCGATTGCCAGACGCTGGCGCACGCTCGTGCACTGTAGACGGAATTCCGAGGACATAATTACAAGGCTGCCACGAGGAGCTGCCGAACCAGAAATGCTGTCGCTCACTTGCTGACATGCGTGATCAACGCGCGTCTCCCTGCGGAAAAAATATCCAGGCGAAGGACCCAACGCAGCTGCGAGCATCGCGAAGCAGGGGAAACGAAGGAGGGGGGCTACGAAACGTGCGAGGGGTGTGCTCAGATTGGCGGGGCCGCCGCGCGGACGCTGCCACTCGGGCCCTCGGTGGAGCTCCCAATGGGGCCACGAAACGTGCGAGGGGTGTGCCGAGCGCGATGCCGCCGTGCGGACGCTGCCACTGGGGCCTTCGGCGGGGATCCCCATGGGGCCACGAAGCGTGCGAGGGGTGTGCCGAAACGGGGCGCGGTGCCGCCATGCGGACGCTGCCACTGGGGCCTTCGGAGGAGTCCCTACGGGGCCACGAGGCGTGTGAGGAGTGTACTGAAACGGGCGCGGTGCCGCCATGCGGACGCTGTCACTGCGGCCTTCGGCGCGGCGCCTTATGGAGCCACGAAGCGTGTGAGCGGTGTGCTGTGCGCAAATGGGTGGAGAACCGCATACGAAACATTGAATCCCTCCCTCCTGTGGGCCACGAAACATGTGGGGGCATGGAGAAAACATGCAAAACCCTTTTCCGGGGGCTTCGGTGGAGCTCCCTATGGGACCACGGAACGTGCGAGGGGCGTGCCGAAGTGTGCATGCGGAGGGCAGAGGTAAGAATGGGAGGAGGGAGGAGAGGAGAGGAGAGGAGAGGAGAGGAGAGGAGAGGAGAGGAGAGGAGAGGAGAGGAGAGGAGAGGAGAGGAGAGGAGGAGAGGAGAGGAGAGGAGAGGAGAGGAGAGGAGAGGAGAGGGAGAGGGAGAGGGAGAGGAGAGGAGAGGAGAGGAGAGGAGAGGAGAGGAGAGAGGAGAGGCGAGGCGAGGCGAGGCGAGGAGAGGAGAAGAAAGAGGAGAGGAGAAGAGAGGCGAGGAGAAGAGAGAGGAGAGAATAGGATAGGAGAGGAGAGGCCAGACGTGGGGCGACGCCTCCTGAAAAACGAGGACCCAACACCACAAGACGCTTGGGAAACAACTGCATTCTAGACATCCTGACCTCGCGCCGACGCGCCCCGCTATGCGCGACGCGGGATCATCGTCGCGCCCTCGCTCGCGCCCCCGCGCCGCCCCCTTGGAGAATGGCAGCCGCTCCGGGTCAGACCGCGACGCGCGAAGCGCGGCTATCTTCGCGCCCCCACGGGTGACCTGGGATACTCGCTCGGGTGGCAGTAGAGCACGACTGCAGCAAGGCAAGCTGCTTTACACACGTGGTCGCGCAGTGAAGAGAAAAAGGAAGCTGGACGAAGTTGAAGAGGCAACCGGCTCCTCCAGCTCACGCAACTCTCCGTATAGAGGTTGAAGAAACCGATGTTGCCTGACCCCCCCACCACACGCACGCAAGCACACCCTGTCGGGGAAACCAACAGATACCGATACCGCTACTCCCTGGACCTCTCCTGGGGTGCGTTCCAATCAGGATTTCCAGGCGAATCCAGCCATGGCGCCAAAGGCCTCCCAAGAGGCCGAACAGGGCGGAAACGAGGCAAGGGTAGCGGTATTGGTACCTCTGTCTCCTCCGATCTGCCCCCCCTTTAGGCAGAGTGACTTCGTCACGTGATGCGAAGTCTCCTCCCCTCCCCTCCTCTTCCCCCCATCTTCTCCTCCTCCTCCTCCTCCTCCTCCCCCTCCTCCTCCTCCTCCTTCTCCTCCTCCTCCTCCTCCTCCTCCTCCTCCTCCTCCTCCTCCTCCACCTGAGATTCGCATCACGTGACGAATCCCAGTTGCCGACACTTGTCGCGATGCAGCAGGCGCACGGTAACCCGCTCCGGGGGCCACGAAGGCCGAGGCCTAATCTGGCGGGAGCGCTGCTCAAGCTTCGCCGCGGCATCCCCTGGAGCTGGGGGGGCAGGCAAAGAAGAGCACTGGTGCCAGGGATGATAGGGCGCGAGACGGAAACAGGGGCCGTGCACGCGGAAGAGAAGGATCCGCAGTCGGGAAGGGGCGGGGGCCCACAGGCTCGGCGGCGCGCCGAGGGGGAATTGATCGGGGACAAGCCTCCTCCTCCTCCTCCTCCTCCTCCTCCTCCTTCTACTCCTCCTCCTCCTGCCTCCTCCCTCCTCCTCCTTCCTCCTCCTCCTCCTCCTCCTCCTTTGCCTCCCTCCTCCTCCTCCTCCTCCTCCTCCTCCTCCTCCTCCTCCTCCTCCTCCTCCTCCTCCCCTGGTGCCCTCCATTTTCCTCCGCGTGCCGCGGTGCGGGGCTCGCGCCCTCGGGCCTGGGCCGTGCCGTGGCGTCCTCCTCCCCGGCCTGCTCCTGCAGTCAGCCCGGATAGTACGGGTGCGCGACTGGGAGAGGATATCGTGCTCCGTCCGTTCGGCCCGACGGCCGACAGTGCCCACGCGTGCAGGGCTTGGGCCGATAGGCGATGCGGCGAGCCGCTGCAGGGTCGGACTCCGAATCCGAAGGAGAGCCCGCCTTCGAGGGCTTCGAGGGACAGGCCTCGGGAAAAACAGCGAACACTCATGCGGCATTCATCTGTGAATGCCTCCCCCTCGCCCCAGTGTTCAGAGTTGGCGGTGGGTCTGATGAGTTGCACCTCGACCGCAGTCTCCCCCGCGCGTGCCAACTTTGAGTCTGGGGGGCAGGGGGGGTGTTCACTAATTGTTTCCCTCTACCGAAGGGCCATTTCGAAGCTTTTCGAGCGGGGCGCGGTCAACGAAAGTGGCCAAGGATGGATACAGGAGGCAAGGATGCAAGGATACCCTTGGGAGGGATGCCTATCCTTACTGTGCGGGTCGACTCTACCCCTGCTGATGCGCAAGATGAGGAGCCGAAGTTGGCAATGTTGTTGGTGTCTCGTGACAGCATTGTTCCTTCAGCAGCCTCGGCGCGATTCTCGATTGCATTCCCATGGCCCTCCTTCTCCCTGGCAGCCATTTTAGTTTTGTCTGTTCGTTTGTTCTCCCGTGGCCCTGCTCAAGTCCCAATGTTGGAGGCCTGGAAATGGGCACCAACACCAACACAGGGGTTTGCCTCCACAGGGGGAAGATGGTCCTTAGATTTCGGTGTTGGTGGTAATATTTCGGTCACCTTGGAAACCATAATTTTACCACCATCATCGAGGTCGGGATCTTCTTCTCTCGGTGGAGGCACACCGCCGATGTTGGTGTTGGTGTCAACCTCTAGGCCTGCGACAACGATCTCCGGAAGGAGCGCGGTCCCCCAAAAGCTCGGCGGCGCGCAGGGGGGAAGTGACATGGGACAGACCTTCTCAGAAGGCGGCGGGGCGCGGGAGAAGGCACGGAAAGCTGCTTCGAAGGACGGAAGCATTCGGAGTCTTCTGAGTAGGCCCGCCCCCTCGGAGGAGGAGGAGGAGGAGGAGGAGGAGGAGGCGGGGGAGGTGGAGGAGGAGGAGGACGGGGGGGGGCAGGAGGAGAGGAGGAGGAGGAGGAGGAGGAGGAGGAGGAGAGGCGGAGGAGGAGGGAGGAGGAGGAGAGGGAGAGAGGAGGGAGGGAGGAGGAGGGAGTGAGGAGGCGGAGGAGGAGGAGAAGGAGGATGGAGGGGAGGGGAGAGGAGGAGGAGGAGAGGAGGAGGAGGAGGAGGAGGAGGAGGAGGAGGAGGAGGAGTAGAAGGAGGAGGACCAGTGTAAACCCAAGAGTCATCAGCGACGTTGGAGTAAACCCTCCCTCCAGGCTCCCTCTTCATAGGCCCCTACAAAGGTTGATTTCCATTGATTGAACAGACGCCCGTTTGAAGACCCTGAAGCATGCCAAAATAGTGATCTCGGGATTCCAACGCCACGGATCAACCTGATTGTTGCGTCTTGACGATCCTGAATCGTGCCAGGACGCCATTCCTAGGACTTCAGCACAGAGAATCAGCGTAACTGTTGCACCCGCACAATCCTGAATCTTTCCAAAACACATTGCTGGAATGTTGGTAATGGGAATCCGTGAAACTCGTGACAACTTTGTAAACGACTGTGCGCGGCGCTAAGGCGAGAACCACATGTTGGAAAGGAACCGCCCTCAATCCGTGAAACTCTTGCAATTTTTGTGAAACGTATGTGCACCGCGCTAAGGCGAGAGCCACATGTTGAAAACTACCCGCCCTCCATTTGTGAAACTGCTGCCAGTCTTCAAGCTTCAGAGTCATAGGTGGTGAGGAAGTCTCTGGCGAAACGCCCGGCCCGCCCTAAAAACTGGCCTCGGCAAAAAAATAGGAGGAGGTGGGAGGAAGGAGGAGGAGGAGGAGGAGGTAGGAGGAGGAGGAGGAGGAGGAGGAGGAGGAGGAAGAGGAGGAGGAGGCATAATTCCCTACCTAGGCTCTGCCTAGAAGGGTTCTTACCGAGTTAGCTTAAAGGGGCCGGGCAGTGGAACACGCCCCGGGCGGTTCCCCCAGTATCCGCCCCGCGGTTCCCCCAGTTGCGCCCCCTGGGTTCACCCAGCTTAGCTTAGCTAAGTGTAGCTTAGCTTAGCTTAGCTAATCTCATCTTAGCTTAGCTTAGCTTGCCTTAGCTTAGCTTAGCTTTGCCTAGCCTAGCTTGGCTTAGCTTAGCTTAGCTTGGCTCAGTTTAGCTTAGCTTAGCCTAGCCTAGCCTAACCTAGCCCAGCTTAGCTTAGCTTACCTTAGCGCAGCATTAGCACAGCACAGCATAGCATAGCATAGCCAAGCACAGCATAGCATAGCATAGCTCAGCATAGCATAGCATAGCGCAACATAGCATCGCATAGCATAGCATAGCATATCATAGCATTGCTTAGCATAGCACAGCGCAGCATAGCATAGCATAGCATAGCATATCATAGCATAGCATACCCTAGCCCAGCATAGCATTGCGCAGCATAGCATAGCATAGCATAGCATAACATAGCAGAGCATAGCATAGCGCAGCACAGCATCCACTATTGCTGCTGCTAATGTTGCTTTCCTAGAGGCTCCAACTCCTAGGTAGGGTCGCACTGGGATAATTTTTACTTGGGGGGGGGGCATTCTGCTTCTGGGCGCGCCGCCGGCAAGCGGGCACGCGCGGGCGCCCAAGGCAGCGGCGCGGTGCCGCCGGCCCGCAGCCGGGCAGCGGGGGGCCGGGCGCCGCCGCCAGCGGCGGGGGCGGGGCGAGAGCGGGGAAGAAGCGGGGGCCCAAAGGTGAGCACACACACACGAGCACACACACACACACACACACACGCAAAAACGCGCACACGCACACGCGCACACACGCGCGCACACTTTTTGGTCTGCGGGGCGAGAGCGAACCTCTTCCGGTAAAAGCTAGGCGGGCTACGCACAGCTCTAATTGGGAAGACAGGGCACAGGCGGGCGGGGCCTCAGGCGGCCGGAGGGCGGGCCGGGGTGCAGGCGGTGCCAAGGAGCTTACACACGCGCACACACGCGCACACGCGCACGCGCACGCGCACGCACGCACGCACACGCGCACACGCGCACGCACACGCGCACACGCACGCGCACACGCACGCGCACGCGCACGCAGCCTTGCGCGGTCGGGGCCTCTGGCGCGGCGCCGAGGCGAAGTTAAAAGTCGGAGCGGTGGGGGCAGGCGCGCGCGGCCAGGCCTCGGGCGGGATCGCGTCTGGGCAAACACATACGCATAGGTACATATGTATATCTCTATATATGTGTATATATAGTATATATACATATCTGTATAAACATACTATACACGCACACGCACACACGCACGCACGCATGCACACACACACACTCTCTTTTTTATTGTCTCTCTCTCTCTCTGTCTCTCTCTCTCTCCCTCTCTCGCATATGCAGACACGTTTCCCTCCGCCAGCCTGGTGGCGTCACCGAAGCGAGTGACACCATGGGGCACCAGCTATCGTGAGCTCCACCAGGCATCACACAGACATGCACACACACACACACTTATGCGCTGGCGGCACTGTGCTGGCGAGTGGAGCGGCACACACACACACACACACACACACACACACACACACACACACACACACACACACACACGCGCGCGCACGCACGCACGCACGCACGCACGCACGCACGCACGCACGCACGCACGCACGCATACGCACACGCACACGCACACGCACACGCACACGCACACGCACACGCGCACGCACGCACGCACACATACGCACACTACCCTCCGACGCGATGGTGAAAGCACCCCACGCCTGCCAGTGCAATGAAATTTCAGGGGTCACGTTAGCAAAAAATTGACCACCTCGCGTGGCGACGCGCACGGAGCCGGAAACCCCCGGGGGCAGTCCGGCGGGAGCCCAGCTTCCGAGCGTCAGAGGCAGACGAGCGCGAGAAGAACAGGGCGCCGGAGAGACCAGAGAGAACGTCGGCTACACGCAGGAGTGGCCCTGGGTAAGAGTGACCTGTGGTGCGCGGCTTTTTGGGGGCCGCGGGGGGCCCAGACCTGGGCGCGCAGGCCGCTGCTGCCGCTCCGCTTTCGGCCATCTGGGGGCCCACCTGTGCCCGCACCACAGGTCACTGCGGCGAAAGGTCGCCCGCTCTTGCGTCTAGCCGGGAACAGAGCAGGCATGCCAGGGCCGGCGAGCCAGGCAGGGCGACGGGCGGAGGAAGAGGGGAAGCAGAAGAGACGGCATGAGCAGAAACTTTCGGCGCTCCGCGCGGATTGCATGCCTCGGCGCTGGGCCCACCGCCCTCGCGCGCGGAGCGCGCCAAGGGGGGGGCCCGCGCCGATCCGACATGCACCCGCGCGGAGCTCCGAAGGCTTATGGAGATCCGAATGATCTCAGATCAGAAGGATCTTAGATAGATCTTAGATCATTGTGATCTCAGATCTTAGATCATAGCGATCTTAGATCTTACATTCCCGAAAAGTGCAGAATGATCTTAGATCCTTCTGCACTTTTCGGGAAGGCATCGGGTATCGGCTCAACCAATGGTGGTGGTGGTGGTGGTGGTGGTGGTGGTGGTGGTGGTGGTGGTGGTGGTGGTGGTGGTGGAGGGAGGTGCCGGCAGAGAGCCCAACTTCTTCGAGTTTGGGCAGCTCCACGTGTGCCAGCACGCCCCTGCGCACCTGCGCAGCCAGCAAGGTCGAGCTATCCGCGGGGGGGGGGGGGGCAAGCGGGCGGGCCCGATAACCCGGGTTCTCGCCGCACCCCAAAATAACGTGTAATGTTCGGCGGCGAGCCCGGGGGGAGCGTGAGGAAGGGCGGGCCTTCTCAGCAGGCTCGGAAGTCCTCCGGCCTTCTGCGAAGTTCCTGAGCCTTCCCCGAAGACACAGAGAACCTCGCAGAAGGCGCAGGGGTTTCTGAGAAGTCCCGCCGCCTTCTGAGAAGGCCTTCTCCTTCTCACTTCTCCCCCTCGCCTCCGAACTGTTCATGCTGCTTTCTTGCTCGAGGGAAGGAAGGGAGCAGCGGGCGGCAAGCCGAAGAGGCGCCCGCACCAGCAGAGGGCCCGACGGCAAGCGAGCCGCGGGAGCGGGAGCAAGAGGGGCGGCCCAGCGAGCAGACCTCGGCGCGCACCAGCGGCGGCGGCCGCAAGCGGGAAGAACGGCTGGCGAGAAACATCGAGAAAGCGCACGACCAGCACGCGGAGCACCAGGCGAGCGAGGAGAGAGGAAGTCGGGGAACAGACAGTGACATGAACAGAAACTTTCGGAGGTCCGCGCGGGCTTCTTAAATCTGCGCTGGAGCCCCCTGGCGGCGCATCTGGCGCCGCCCCTGGCGCGCTCCGCGTGACAGGGAGGGGGGTCCGGCGCCGATCTGAGAAATCCGTGCGGACCTCCGAAAAATTGTGTTCATGGCATTGTTTATATTCCCCTAGGAAGGGGAAGCACGACAGGACAAAGGGCTGGCACAGTCGGCGACGCCTGAATCGGCGTAAAACGTGCCACTGATGTGGCCCAGCCGGTAGCCGAAGCGAAGGCGAGTGGGGCGCCAGGAGTGCGCAGCCATCAGTGCGGCCGAGGGCTGGGCAGACCTGTCGTGGTCGCTTCCCCTGGCACCCCCCACATACACTTAGGTCGGGCCTGTCCCCCTACAGGGGGATTTTGGATAATACTGCGAGGAAACCCACAAATACTCGAAAAATAGTCCCCAATTTACTTTTTTACTTTTGAATATTCCCCCGGTAGAGGGACAGGCCCACTTAAACAGATACGCCAGGCACACACACACACACACACACACACGCACGCACGCACGCACGCACGCACGCACGCACGCACGCACGCACACGCACACACATTCACACACGGGCACCCACGGGACGTCAGCTTCGAGCCACCGCGTCAAGCCAGGATCGCTCTTCGGGCAGCGAGGGGCAGCACCCGCTGGTCGCACGAAGCACATGGAAACACGTAGGCAGGTGGATAACGCAGATTGGGCTCGGGCCCGCCCGAATGGCAACAGCGGACAACCAAAACACATCGTCTCTTCAAGCAGGAAGGCGCCTGAGAAAAAGACTGTGAGCTGGGACTCTGCTTTCAACGACCAGCGTGCACTGAGCGCCCCTCACGCCACCCCCGCTGCTGCCCCCCCGGGCTCCACTCGCGCGCGAGAAGCACTCGGGTGGGGCGAAAGGGGGGGGTAGCAAAGGGGGGGGTTGAGAATCAGCTCACGTAGCTGCTTTTCCTGGCGCCTCCCGGCGCCGGAGGCGGCTACGTATCGAGGAATGGGCCCCTCGGCGAGGCCGAAACCAGCTGCATGCAGCAAATTTCGTATCCCCCCCTTTCCAATCCCCCCCTTTCTGAAGGGGCCCCAGGACACACAAATGAATACACACAAATAAACATATTTCCCATATTTTCCTATATTTTCTGGGTTTCTGTCTTCCCAACCACTTCCCATATTTTCCCATATTTTCTGGGGAATCGAGGATTAATTGTGTCTGTGTGTTTCTTTTCCTCCTGACTTTCGTCCGGCCCGAAGCACGCTGAGGCCAGGGCTGCGGAGGCACGGTGCCCTCCTGCCGCCGGCGGGGGGGGCGGGGAGCTGCGGCGGACTCCTCCCGAAGCCAGGAATCCGCCCGTGTGCTCGCTGGCTTCTCAGTAAGCCCCAGAGGCTTCCAGGAAGGCTTCTCACAAGCCCCCCCCCCCCCCAACCCAGGCGGATCCCCGGCCCAACCTGCCGCAGCCCCCCCGTCGACGCTGCGCCACCGCTCGCACCGACCCACCAAAGAGCTGACGTGGCCAGTGGCTCGGCGACTGCTCCGGTGTGTCGCGCCGGGGGCGGGCTTCTCATTTGGACGCCCGAAATGGGTACCGAAAAAATGGGCACAATGCCCAACAGCAAATGTTGTCCCAAACCAACAGCGGCCGCTGTTGGGCAGGCGGCCTCCTGTTTCGAATGGACACAGGCCGCGGCGGCGTGGACAGCGAGCCCTGTTCAAAATGAACAAGATCCGCTGTTGGGCATTGTACCCATGCTTTCAGTACCCATTTCGTGCGTGCAGATCTCAGAAGCCCGCCTGCCTTCTTATAGACGCCCCGCCGCGCTCTTGCAGGTGCCGCCGCCTTCTCAGAAGCCGCCCCCTCGCGGCACCCCTTGTGAGCGCCGTCGGATGAGGCCGAGCCTCGCTGACCTCGAGGGTTCCAGCGGCCCTGCTCCCTCAACCCTCGACCCTCTACAGTCGGGGCCTTGACCTAAGGAACCTAAAATAGGGAACGAGGCCCCTATTTTCCATAAGTTAACCCTCGATTTCCCATGGAAAACCTCAGGAAAACCCGAGGCAACCTTTGAAACAATCAAGGAACACCGAGCCCCTCCCCAACGAAACGGGTTCCTTCTGCAGCGCCCCGACTGTACCCACTCCCGGCGAGCCCAAAGAGCGTCTGCCCACCCCTGGCCCCGCCCCCGTTGTCCGCGCAGATGGCTTCCTGGCACGCGGAGTCCCACGACAGGCAGGTGAACATCTCGCCGCACTGGTCGCTGGTCTCGAAGACGACCTAAGGACCAGGGAGGGAGCAGGGGGTGATTGGTTCGAACTTTGGTCCAAAGGGCGGAGGAGCGAGGAGGAGCGAGGAGGAGCGAGGAGGAGCGAGGAGGAGCGAGGAGGAGCGAGGAGGAGCGAGGAGGAGCGAGGAGGAGCGAGGAGGAGCGAGGAGGAGCGAGGAGGAGCGAGGAGGAGCGCGGTTTGAACGCGCCCCTACGCCAAAGGGCGGAACGACCCAGAGCAGCAAGACAGAGAGCAGGGGAGAGGAAGGATGTCCTCCTCCTCCTCCTCCTCCTCCTCCTCCTCCTCCTCCCTCCTCCTCCTCATCCACTCCTCTCTCCCCTCCTCCTCCTCCTCCTCCTCCTCCTCCTCCTCCTCCTCCTCCTCCTCCTCCTCCCTCCTCCTCCTCCTCCTCCCCCTCCGACGAAGAGGTGATTCCGACAAGGCGGGCCTGGAACGCGAACCGACCAAACCGACCGAGCAGGAGTTGGAAAAGGATCAGGAGGAGCGTACGGAGCACGAGGAGAGGAAAACCATGGTGATGGAGGGGATGAGGACAAGAACGAGGAGAAGGAGGAGGAGGACTAGGAGGAGGAGGAGGAAAAGAAGGGGGAGGAGCAAAAGGTGGAAGAGGGGGACCAGGAACACGGAAGAGGAGGCAGAGCAGAACCAGCAGCAACAGAAGCAGGCGGGATGAATAAGGGAAACCTCGCACTCTTGACTTTTGAACTGCATATGTGTGTATATATGTACACATAAGTTTGTATCAGTGTGTACGGGTGTATGTAGGTACATATGCACAAACCTGCCCACGCACATATAGGCATACATACATACACGTACATACACATATGCACACATACATTCACACATACATGCATGCACACATACATACATACATACATACATACATACATACATACATACATACGTGCGTACGTACGTACGTACGTACATACATACATACATGCATACATACGTACGTACGTACGTACGTACATGCATACATGAATGCATGCATGCATACATACATACATACACACATACACACAGATATGACATACATACATACATGCATGCAAACATACATACATACATACATGCATACAAACATACATACATACATACATGCATGCATACATACATACGTACGTACGTACGTACGTACATGCATGCATGCATGTATACATACATACATGTATGCACACGCACATACAAGCACACGCACATACAAGCACACACATATACATACATACATACATACATCCATACATACATACATACATCCATACATACATACATACATACATACATACAATACATACATACATTGCATGGCATGCATGCAATGCATGCATGCCTGCATGGTATGCACGCATGAATGCATGCATGCATGCATGCATACATACATACATACATACATACATACATACATACATACATACATACATACATACACACACATACATGCATGAATGCATGCATGTACGCATACATGCATACATACATACATACATACATACATGCATATATATGCATACAAACATACAAACATGAATGCCTACCCGCCTACCTACACACATACAGACCCGCACACACACTCACACACATACACATACATACGTACGTGCATACGTACGTGCAAACATACGTAAAGAGAGACAGACAGACATGCAGACCGACAGACGCACACATACATGCATATATATATATGTGTGTATGTACATAGAGATACATAGAGATGCATACAGACAGACAGACAGACAGACAGACAGACGGACGGACGGACGGACGGACGGACAGACAGACAGACAGACAGACAGACGTACATCCATCCAGACGCACATCCATCCATCCATCCATCCATAGTCATTCTCTAGAAATGCGTATGCAACAGCAACGCAACAGGCAGAACTCTCACCACGAGTGACCGCTCGGCCCCCTCGCTCTGCCGTGGCGTTTTTCCCGAGCGGCGGCGGGCCCCGGAGGCGCCCCGTCGGGGAGGAGGGCCGCCGCCGCCGCCTCCCGCGGCCCGCCTCCAGTGCTCTCACCGGAGTCTGCGGCAGGGGGCCCTTCTCGGGGATGGACAGACCCTCCTTTGGCAAAACGTGGTTTAGTGAAAACGACCCGAGGCCCAAACCTGGCAGGCGCAAGCCTGGAAAATGGCGGCCACGGCGCCCTCTCGAGAACCGAAAACGGACAATTCACTAATCGACGTGTCACTGTTGGGGGTTCTGGCCAGCCCCGACCTTCCACTGGGTCGGGCACGTCCTCCTGCAGGCGGACTTTGGACGAGAGGCAAAGATACTCAACACATATACAAAAAAGTGTTCGAAGACACTTTGGACATCGACCCCGGACTATTTCTGACCATGATGAGAGATTCCTCCTGGGGAGGGACACGCCCGACTTGGCCCTTCCACAAGAGACCTTTCGCAAGAAACCCAACCCTGAGACCCCAGGACGTCCATGGATTTTCGGGCGCAAGAAAACGTCGCGCCCTCCGTGGCAAGGCCACTGAAGCCAAAGAACCCCAGGGCACCCTGGAGGCAAGCAAGGTCTCTTGGCCTGGGTATCCACTGTAGGGCAAGAAGCGGCATAACCTGCGTGCGCTCAAAACCTTACACGCGCTGCACCTTTCGAATCAACTCTGCAAGGAAGAAGGAGACAAAAAGAGTCCCATTCGCGAATCAACTCTGCAAGGAGTCATTCGGAAAGTCATGATTGCAAAAACACGCATTTTGAAACTCGGAAATTCGGAAATTCCGTAATTCTCAATTCTTACTCAGCCTATCCGGTACGGAAAAACATGATTTGCACATCAAGGGTTTCTTGGCCAATCCCGCTACTTGCACGGTCGGAATCCTCCGGCTTCCTATGAACTTACAAGGCTCTTCTCGATTGCTTTGAGTTCCTGAGGATTCCACAGGTTCCCCCGGGGTTCCCCAGGATTCCGATCCAGTTTCTCCGGACACCTCAAGCTTCGACATGACATGGTATGACATGGTCATGCCGCATAAACAGAAACTGAAGGTCCGCGCGGATACCTTGGATCTCCCTCCCTGGCGCGCGGAGTGCGCCAGCGGCGGCGCCAGGAAAGACGCCGCCAAGGGGCCCCACTGCAGATCCAAGACATCCGCGCGGATCTCCGAAATTTAAAACTTATGCAGGGCTCCTTCTTCAATTCTCTCTCATCTAGAGGCCTCCTGGATGGGGTCGGATCGCCGCATCGACGATGCATCGGCGGTGCGGCGCCATCCTCCGACCCCACCTGCTCAGCCCCCATCTGGGAGGCCTAGAGTATTCTTTCTTCTTTCTTTCGCTAAGCCTAGAACGCGAACAGTGTTGGCCGATTGTACATGCCACGGTCGAAATACAGAGCTGCGCGGTCAACGGGATGGAGAAAGCTGACGGAAGCAAGAACTACATTCTAAACATCACGATTCCCAATGATCTTCGTCACGGCCTAGAGTATCTGTATACTGGTCCCTCCTTCGGCTTCTCTCGCTCTCCGGCCTTTCCCGGCCCTCCCAAATCTGTAAGCTTCCCGGCTGCGCCACGAAAACATAGAAGCACTTGCCGTCGCTCGGTCGTCCATTTCCCGTTCATTGTTCGGTTTCGTGTGTGTGTGTGTGTGTGCGTTTTTGTTGGCTCGATGGTCCAGGATGGTGCTCGATGGTTCTCGCCGAGAAACAATGCACACGTCCGAACGATGCCAAATATATACGCAGACGCAATCCGACGAATTCTGCATGCACCTCCCTGTGCAGAAAGCCGCTGGCTCTCAGGTGGTGACCTCTGCACCGCCGCGCCCTTCCCCCGGCGGGCCCGGCGGGCCCAGCTATGCCGGCCCGGACCTGGAAGCTCAGGCAATCCACCGTCTTGAACCTGTGGTCGTGGGACAGCGTGAAGAAGAACGACTCGTTGGCCACGCACATGATCCGGGATATGCCGAGCTCGTGCACTTTCACCTAAGGAACACGCGGAAAAGGCGACACCAACACCAGCAGGGCGAGGAGGTGCGCGGAGGCGAGGGGGGGGGTCCCTGGTGGTGCGGTCCCACCCTCTCGCTCGAGACATCCCCGGTCTCCCGCTCGGGGACGCATGGTGGACCTCCTCGCTGGAGGCGGGCCCCCTGGTGGCGTTGGTATTGCTTCTCCTCCCTCCGACGCCTCGGCAGGTCGGCCAGCACTGGATCGGAAGCAGGGTCGCATCGGAGCGTGCGCCGGGTCGGGCTGCATCGGCATGGAGCCGAAGTCGAATCGGATCGGCCGCGCCAGCATGCACAGCGGCCGCACGCATCAAAGAACAGACCAGAACAGAACGTCCGATCGAGCGTCCAAGGACGTCTCGTCCCGCTTGCGGGAACGGCGTGAATCATGCAGTGCGGGAAAAACCATGCACGGGTGAGAATCAAAAAGACACCCCTCAAGCCTCAAGGGTATTGCTACCCGGCGGTGTGCATGTATGACAAGTACTCAGTCCGAAATTCATCCGAAAACCTGCCGTGCGCATCGAGCCGTCTGAACGTCGGCATCGAATCGGGTCGGGCCGGCCGGAATCGACATCGGGTCGGATCGACCGGATCGGAAGGGGCCCTGCCTCGGTGGGGCGGAACGCGTGGCGAGGCCGGCAGCCATGGAGTGGGTGGGGCATGGGCATCGCGCGGATTCGTCCCTCCTTTGCAGATTCGCCCACCTATCCCTATCTAGGGCTCCCAACTTCGCGCTTCGCGCTCCGCGAAGCGCGAATAACTTCGCGCCCTCGCGCCGCCCCCCCAAAGGGAGAAAAGGAGGACGAGGAGGAGGGGGGAGAAGGAACGAGGACCGCGAAGCGCGAAGCGCGAATAACTTCGCGCCCTCGAGGGAGCCCTTGCGTATGCGCCTGCATCTACATTTTCACGTACAGCTACAACGGCGGTCTCAATCGCACCCATGCCATAATTACTGGCAACACGGCCTGGGCCCCTACGCGCGAGTATGAAATCATCGCATGCTGCACGCCTATACCTACACCCGCTCTGCCATCACGTGCCAAGACCAATCGTCATACCTGTCCAAATGCCCGCCCTCCAGCGCTGCCACTGATCCCATCCATTCCTTGGTTCGGGCTCGTGATAACAGCGAAGGCAGGTCAGGGGTGGGAAATCGGCCAAGGTTGGGACTCGGCCCCACCCGATGCAGCTGCATGTGGCGCAGGGCGTGGCCCGGACTGCACACATTGCACGCCGCAGGGCAGTGGGGGTACGAACAAAAAGAGAGTCGGTGGCGAACCCGGGCGGGGAAGTGAGAAGAGGCGGGCCTTCTCAGAGGGCTCGGAAGCCGGAAGCCCCCCCGCCTTCTGAGAAGTTCTCGAAGTCTTCCCCGAGGACGGTACAACTTCTCAGAAGGCCGGAGCGCTTCTGAGAAGCCCCGCCGCTTTCCGAGGAGGCCCTCTCCTTCTCGCTCCCCCCCGTGCTCGCCGCCGATGGGAGGCGGCCGGGTCCGTTTCACCCCGGGTCCGTTTCTGGCGGCCCCGGGCGCCGAACATGGCCCCCAGAGGCCGAGAAAGGCAAACCGCCTGCTCGAGTCCAGAACCTCGAGCCTGCTTCCCCTTCCTGATGGCCGAGGATCGGGGGCGCCCAAGAGGGGGGCGTCCAAGAGGGGGGGGTGCAAATCGTGGCCGGCGGCATGTGCGCGGCCCAGGGGGGGGGAGCTGGGGACGTCATGAAATCAGAAGCGGCGCCATGAAATCTGGGGAGATATCATGGCCCCCGCCATGACATCCGCCTCCCCTAGTCATCACCCCCCTCTAGGCCGCCCCCGACAGGAGAAGAGGAATAAGAAAATTACACCAAGAAAAATCCCAATCAATGGATGGTTTTCGCTGAGGAGATCGACTGGGAGCCCGAGAGCCCGGGAACCCAGAACCCACCGAAATCGGCCCGGAACCAATAACTGGGAACCCGGGAACCCTGAACTGGGAACCCAGCACACCCAACCTGCTACCAAAATCGGCGGGAACCTTTCGCCAAATCTGTCAACTTCCGCTAGGGCCCCCTTCAGTGCAAGCACTGATTGGGGAAGTTTAAAAAATTGCCCCAGACTAACATTTTAACCGTAATTTGAACATTCCTCCTGTAGAGGGACATGCCTTTTGTGGGCCCCGGAAACGGCAGGGCCGTTTTTTCACCATTTCCCCAAAAAATGTCCCTTGAAAATAGAAACGGCAAAAAAAACGACGACCGGAAACGGCAAAGAAACGGCTCCAGGATTGGAACCAGAGCCAGAACCGGTCAAAAAACGGCGACGGAACCGGCAAAAAAACGGCGTCGGGTAAAAAAACGGCCCTGTCGTTTCCAGGGCCCACTAAGGACATGCCCGACTTCATGCTGCGCACAGGGTGAGGAAAGCGTGGCCAGCCTTCCGCACCGCCCGGAAGCGGGCCGGCCGACGCAGCGCACGCCTGGCACTCCGCGGCAAACGCTCTGTGGCCACCGGTCGCTCGCTGCCCGACGACTGTCGGGGCCCACAAGCGTGCTCCGGAGAGAAAACACTGCAATGTCAACCCCCCTCCTCCTCCTCCTCCTCCTCCTCCTCCTCCTCCTCCTCCTCCTCCTCCTCCTCTACTCCTCCTCCTCTGCCTCC